ATATATATATATATATAATAATATAATTTGAAGATTAAAAACAAACTTTTATCTACCATAAAATATTTATGCATTCATGTCTCAAAGATAAACTTGTGACACATTAACCTTTTATCTTATATACATAATAATTTCGTATGTACTTCAGGTTCGTGAAACATTTTAAACATTTTTAAGAACATTTTAGATATATTAATATATACTTAAGTAATTTTCCTATAAATATTTTCGACAAATATAAATTATCGATTTAAGTTATAAATAATACTTTCGTATTATACATTCAAGATTACAAAAGAATATGTCAGTAGTACTAGAGTATCTAAAATACGTATCAATAGATACACAAACACATTTATCTCGCTCATAGAACTTGCTTATCACTTTTCACTGACTCACGGACTACGAAACCTTCTTTTCTTTTGAAATTAATAGCCAGCGGCTGTTGACCTCCATAAATTAATCATATGCAGAGGACAAGGAACCAACTGGTATGCTATCTAATTAATTTATATTTTCCCATTTTTGTCATAAGGAGCTGTAACTCCTAATAAAAAATGTTCTCCAAGAAGGAAAGTATCGCACAGAGAAGCGAATCTGGAAAAACACGAACCTGCTGAATGAATCGTTGTGTCGGCCGCACCACTGATCAGTGTCTGATTATTGAATCAGCTGATTTGGCATACGTTAACCTTAATCTTGCGTAGATCTCAGCGATTTTTCCTCGAGGCTCGAGTGTGGCCGCCTGCCTGTTCCTTTTCGGGTCAGCTCATCGCCGTACAGGTCCTTATCATAGCTCTTATAGATAAGAGTGTAATCTGAAATTTCCAAACTCCCTACCACTATTTTTATTTATTTTCTTATCATTCACGAATGCGAGAATCAATCTCTACACTATTGCTACGCATTCTTGAAATACACAATAGATCTGCTCCTTATTCCTGAACTGGTGCACGCGTACACCAATAAGTTGAAGTGAAACAAATATACGTTTGCTTCACTTATTGCACGGCGTCAGTTCAGAGAGTGCAGGAATAAACAGCTAATTAAACACGAACAAACGTATAACGTTTTTCAACATTGGCAGAACTGATGCATACTCAGTGCACCTAATCTGATTTGAATGTAAACGTGAGATAATCTCTTGATAAGATACTCAATGTATATTTTATCAAATTATACAATAAAATGTAAATGTCAGGATTTCGTGGTTTAATTCATTTCGATATTTTTATTATATATACATCTTTACGTTAATTTGTGTACAACGGTTTTAAAGTGCACTGAGTGCGCACCAGTTCTGCCAATGAAAAACGCTATTAGGTTAGATTTCTATTCTGGCGGGAAGATAACGCATGAAATTACATTGCATCTGATGCGTTTTTCAATCGAATTTCCAAGATGCCCGATATCATAATTAATGATATCATCGTTACTTTCCCCTTTAAACCATATCCTGTGCAAGAGGAGTATATGAGAAAGGTGATAGAATGTCTACAAAATAGTCAGCATGGAGTCTTGGAGTCGCCGACAGGTATATTTGTGTACACGCGGTTACCTATTTAGGAAAGAGGGTACCTCTGACAAATAAATGACAATTTAAAAGAAATTTTTGATAATTTAAGATATTTAAAAAAAAATCACATAATTTATTTGAAACATTTGTTCCTGACTTGTAAAAATTTGACACAAAATAATTAAAAAATTAAATTTCTAGATTGTTTCATTTTTATTACTATTTTTTGTGATAATAATTAATATCTTTCAAGAAATTTTTGTGATTTATACTTTAATAAAAAACAAATAATTTTTAAATTATTAAATTTCAAACATTTTTTCAATTTAGAAAAATCGACTCAAAATTGAAAAAAATTGAACTTTTAGATTAATAGATTTAATTTATTTTTTATTTTTCTTTTTTTTTAAATGAATTATTTACTAAAGCTATTTTATTAATTTATGAATAAGTTTGTAATAAAATGTTATAAATGTAGATAAATATTTCACAGGTACTGGAAAGACTTTGAGCCTTTTGTGTTCCTCCTTAAGTTGGTTGTTGACAAAGAAAGCTCAGTTACAAGCACAAGTTATAACAGGTGCAATAGAAAAGAAAGACTTTGGTGGAAATTTTTTTAAATATTTAACTAGTGGGCTTGAGAAAGCAGCAGGGGTACCAGATAATGTTCAAAGTTTTGGCTGGGCTATACCCAAAATTATTTATGCGTCTCGAACACATTCTCAATTATCTCAGGCTATGTATGAATTGAAGAAAACGTCATACAAGCATGTAGCTACTGCTGTATTGGGATCCCGAGATCAGCTATGCATTCATCCAGAAATTTCTAAAGAAACAAGTTCTTTTAACAAAATACACATGTGTCATGCCAAAGTGAAGTCAAGAACTTGTTTTTATTTCAACAATGTCGAGGCCAGGTGAATGTAATATTTAGACACAATTTTATTAATATTATATAATTTTATTATAATATAATATTAATCAACGCAGAGAAATCAAGTAGCGAATATATAATATGAATTTTAATGTGTGTTTCTTTAGAAAAGATGATCCTGTATTTAAACAGGAAGTGCTAGACATAGAAGATTTAATTAAAGTTGGACAAAAACACAAATGTTGCCCATATTTTTTGGCAAAGGAATTGAAGCAGAATGCAGATATTATTTTCATGCCTTATAATTATCTACTAGATCCTAAAACACGAAGGTCGCAGGGTATAGACTTACAAAATACTGTAGTTTTATTGGACGAAGCTCATAATGTTGAAAAAGTTTGTGAAGAAGCAGCATCATTACAGGTATAAAAATATAAACATATTTTCTTTAGTCTTTTATATATTCTAATTAAATATTGTAATATGTCTGACTACAGATAAGCAGTACAGATATTGCAATGTGTATTGATGAAGTAACTGCAGTAATGCAAGATATGACTAAAGATTCAGATCAGCAGAATGACTTTTTGTCAGAGAATAATGTTCAAAAAGATTTTACAGCAGAAGACCTGTGTATTTTAAAAGCAATGTTTTTAGAACTGGAAAAAGCCATTGACTCTATTGAATTAAAAAATCGCAGTGAGGGAGACACTTTCCCTGGCGGATATATTTTTGAATTACTTGAAAAAATTGAAGTAACTATTTTTACTTTTAAATGATTTTATTAAAAATTTATATACATAACAATGTTGCTGTAATGTATTTTTTTTTTGTAATAGTTAACACATGGTAAGGAACAAATCGTAGTAGACAAACTAGACAAACTTATTTTATATTTGACAACTACCAGTACTTCACCATTTGCAAGAAAAGGGAATGCTTTACAAAAATTTAGTGATTTATTGAGAACTGCTTTCAACAGCAGTGCATCTATTGCACGTCATAAAGAAAAAGTAAAACGTTGCTACAAAGTTCACATACAAATGGAAGAGCAAAAAAAGAATTACAAGAACGATGTCTGGGAGAGTAAAAAGACAATTAAAACAGATGGAAAACTTATTAGTTACTGGTGTTTCAGTCCTGGTTTTGGGTAAAACTAATAAAAAAAATACATAATATTTTATACATATAGAGATATATTTATATATCTATATATCTATATATCTTAATTAATAAAATACATTATCTTAAGTCATATAATAAACATATTTTATAGTATGGAGCAAATGGTAGAACAAGGGATACGTTCAGTAGTGCTCACAAGCGGTACATTATCTCCGTTAAAACCATTCATATCGGAACTCGGTATACCAATCGCAGTCCAATTGGAAAATCCGCATATAGTAACAAAAGAACAAGTATGTGTTGGTGTTCTTAGTCAGGGACCAGATAACCATCCACTTAATTCATCTTATAATACAAGGTAAATACTTATATAAATATGATGATGAAATAAACACTGATTTCAGTTATATCTTTATTATTATGTTTTCACAGAAATGATCCGAAGTATATTGCGTCTCTTGGAAGAACAGTGTATAACTTTAGTTGTATCGTCCCTCACGGATTATTAATATTCTTTCCATCGTATCCAATCATGAAAAAATGCAGGGACGAATGGCAGAATATGGGTTTATGGACGCAGATTGCTGAACGTAAGGTAAACAAATATTTAATTTTTATTGTACTTGTAAAATAATATATTTTATGATATTATATCTATATTGAATTAATTATTGGATAATAGCCCATTTATGTAGAACCAAACTCTAAAGATGGATTTGTTAATGTGATGAATGAATACTATCAAAAAATTAAAGACCCCTCTTGCAAGGGTGCTGTTTTTATGGCAGTCTGTAGAGGAAAAGTCAGCGAAGGTCTGGATTTTGCTAATGCGAACGGTAGAGCTGTATTAATCATTGGTCTTCCATTTCCACCTTTAAAAGATCCGCGAATTATGTTAAAACAAAGATATTTGGAGGAAATAAGAACGATAAAAAAAGAAGTATAAATTATACTTTAATTTTGTTAAAAATAATAACTCAATAAAATAAGATCTATGATTGAAAAACAAATTTAATATTCAGGGTCTAACCGGCCAAGAATGGTATCAACTTGAAGCATCCCGGGCTGTTAATCAAGCTATCGGCAGAATAATAAGACACAAAAACGATTATGGTGCTGTTATACTATGTGATTGTAGATTTGAAAATTTAAATTTTAAGAAACAATTATCTGCTTGGCTTAGACCATACATAAAAAAGTTTACGAATTTTGGAATAATCACGAAAGAACTACGAGAATTTTTTAGGAACGCGGAGAATATAGTAAGTTTGTTTCATATATTCATATATATATTTACATATATAAATACATATGTTTAAATTATAAATGTTTAATATATAAATAATTATATATTCACATATATAAATACAATTAATTTGGAATTATACATAATGGTCAAAATGCATAATTCCCAATTTGTTCAGCCAATATAATTAATAGAAAAGAATTATTCAAATCATTATATTTTCTGGTTGCATTCAGCAGATTCATTTTTTGCGGAGCACTATTAGATGATCTAAAAGAATACACCAATAGCAGCGAATGCTCATGGTTTGTTCTACAACAATCTGCTGAACGCGACTAATGCTAAATGGTTATTTTGATAAATTATTTGTTCAATTTTCCCAGCAGTCTTAATTTAAAAAAAAACCTAACCTCTTAGAATATTCTAGCTGCTATCAGCTGTGACTATTAACAAGCAATGTTGATTATGTTTATAATGAGTTGTATTTTATTAAAACAGAATAAGGCATTTCTGCCCTTTCTGACTTTGTACTGAATACTTATATTAATGTATTGTGAATCGGATTTAATTAATATAATTTGAATATCATATCCATGAAAAATGATGACCACAACTGAAGAAATGAAAAGAAAATTTAATAGTAAACTTTGCGAACTAATTTCAAACAAAGCTTGCAATAGTGGTTATCTAATGAGAAGTACGTGCAGTTAAAAAATGAAATTAAAGAGCTTAAAAGAAAGGATAAAGGAAGAAAACCCCAAATTATTATCAAAAATTAAGGCACTTTTATTTAATAAAGATTGGAGACAATGAGAAACTTATATATCCAGTATTTAATAACTCAATTATAAAATATTACATTACTAATGAAGATCTTGATATCATTCATGACATACATCTTTCTATTGAACATGGAGGGAGAAATAGAATGGCAAAAGAGATTAAGAAAAAAACATAACATAAAGAAACAATTATGCTTTACTTAAATTTATGTGAAATTTATCAGAAAAAATTTTAAGTTCCTAAAAAAGATTTGGTTGTAAAGCCAATGATTTTCAGTGAGATGATTTTAGTCGCTGCCAAGTTGATTTAATTGATATGCAGAGTCAAGAAGATCGAGGATTTAAATCTTGTATATCAAAAAATCATCTGACTAAATTTGTACAACTACGATCATTGAGGAAAATTGCAGGGGAAAATTGCATACACATTATTGAATATTTTTACAATTTTTGGAGCTCCTTCTGTTTTGCAAAGTGACAATGGAAGAAAATTTTCTAATTTACTTATTGAAGAAGTTTGTTCTATGTGGCCTGAATTAAAAATTGTCCATGGAAACTACGTCATAGTCAAAGTCAAGGATTTGTTGAATACCACTCAAGATGTCGAGAACATTCTCAGCTTTGGCTTTAAACATAAAAACAATACATTGGTGATAACTTGCGTTTTGTACAATTTATGAAAAATAGAGCCTATCATGAAAGTATAAAACGTAGTCTGTATGAAGCTATGTTCGGCCAATCATAGGAACTTAAAAGTTGCCTAGAGAAGTCCTACAGTCTATAAGATCTGAAGAAGATTTAGAAGAAATTACATTTAAATATATCTGGAGATAGAAAGATGAAGAAGATGAAAATAAAGATGAAAAAAATAAATTCTTCGCAAGGCGAAGAAAATCATAATGCAGAAGTAATGCAGAAGATAATGATAATGAACAGAAGAACATGAAGATGAAAATAAAAATGGAAGACACGATAAAGAAGCTAACGATCATTTAGAAGAAGTTAGAAAAATTGAAGAAAAAAGAGCTAAAATTTTTGATACTTAAAAAAAAGGTGAAATTTAATTTACAAATTTAAGTTGAAAAAATGAAAAAGTCTTCCACTGAATTTTCTGAGCCAAACAGTTGGCGGAACAATCAGTACGTCATTTACGTCAGTTACGTATATTAGATGTTGATAGGGATAGAAGTGACTCAAAAAAATCTGTTAACATGATATTATCTAAAAGTAATGATTTTTACGAGCTACAAATAGAACATAGTGCTATCAAAATTCTACACCAGAAATGAATTCTCTATATATAATGAATACATAAAGAATCATTCATTAATTCCGACGTGATTTTAACTATAAAAATTTTTTTAGAGAATGCGTGAGGAAATCTTTATTTGAAAGACAAGAATCGAGATGTAATTGTAAAAGAAAATGCTCATCTAATAAGCTCTTTAAACATTGGCAAAAATAAGTAGAAGAAATTAAATAAATAAAAAATATTTAAATGCGTAACATATAATAAATAACAAATTAAGATTGTATTAGGTGTGGGGAAAAGTTCGTGGCGTTTTTTTAATGCCATCTAACGAGAAAAACGCCACGAACTTTTTCCCACACCTAATAAAAAACAGACTATCTTATTCTTTTAATAATGATATTTTCAATCTATTAACTATATTTCCTACTTGTATATAATGACCAGTGATTTTGATTAATTTGTACATTTTTACTTTAATTATTCAAATTTCTCAAAGCAAACAGGCATTATCCATATTGGCCATTAGGTATAAATCACGAATTAATCAAATTGCCCAATAACGTGCGTGCGTGTGTTAAAACTAAATACAATTATTACAATTATTAGCAATATATTTAAATTTATCAATAATTTCAGTTACCGCAACCTAATATCACCCATGCACAATATGGGAATATTGATATATCATTACCTGCGGTGAGTGCTGCCTTTGAAACAACGGTATCTCATTCTCTCAAACAAAAAACACAAAACAATTCTGCGACAGAAGAATTAACTAAGAATAGTTTTGACATAAATATGTATCTAGATGAAAGTGCAAAGGACAAACAGTCATTGAAGTCACAATCTGCAATTAATTTTAGTGCTTGTAAATTAAAAGACAATCAGAGTACATGCGAATTAGCAAAATATCGATCCGAAGAACCAGTTGCCAAAAGAAGAAAAATTAATATTATATCACCTGGAATTAATTCATATTTTTCTGCTCCTTCGACTTCTTCATTAAAAGTTTCCGAAATTAATTCAGGGCAAAATTTCACCCAAAATGATAAAGACATGAAATGCGATAAAAAGGCACTAGGAAAACAATACTTGAAAGATGTAAGTAAATAATAATTCTATTATTTATGTAATCAAAAAATTATGCATTTTAAACAGAAATAATATGCTCGTAGGTGAAACGGGCATTATCTGCGAGCGATTATAAAATATTTGCAAACATGATACAAAGCTATACGCAAAGTGGCGATTTTGATGAGTTATTGAAAACATTATCAAATTTATTTCCACCGACTGGGCTGCTACAGCATTTATTTATAGGTAAGTTTTTGCATGTCAATAAATTAGAGATATGAGATGATAAGAAAAACAATCTATAGGATTAAGAGTGAAAACTTTTAAAAAATTTTTCTACTTTTAGGATTTCAAAGTTTTTTAAAGAAACAACATATTGCAACCTTTGAGAATTATATAAAAAATTTTAAGTTGCCTTAATGTCTAACTTAGAAGAATAATAAATATTAAATGCATATATGTACAGTTTTATATACATTAAATTTATAATTAATATATTAATTTTTCAGTATTTAAATAATAAATTTTTAGTTTTTTCAATGCTTTAATATATAGCAATAAATGTTTTTTCATGTTTATAAAATTGATTAAGCTACTCGTGCTAAATATAAAATGATGCAGGCATCATTTTAGTGGAAAAAAATATGAAAAATATAATAGAACTAAATGATTTTTTTTTTTACTTTTGTAATAATAGTGTAAAATTGACCTTAGCAATTAAAAATATCAGTATTGTAATCATGAATATACTTATATGCATACTTCACATACGTTATATTATTCGCGATAACTTATTGTGTAATCAAATACACTAATTTATTATTTTAAAAAAATCATTGTTAAAAAACAAAGAAAAGAAAGACAACATGTGCTATTAATTTAATTAGTTAATATATAATACATTAATATATCCTGTAAATAAATCATAAAGAAAAGAAAACGTAACTCTGTTACTGTTCAGCGTTAAATGATCATGATCGTCGCAATGACAGTAAAAAATACAGATATTTTTTTTATCTTGTTAATCATGTAATATGCAGTTTGAATATTGTCCATTATAGAATAGACATAATTATGAAAAATTATATACATATACTCGCATCTCGATATAGCGTGTCTCAATATAACGCTCGGCAAAAAATTCTGTTGCTAAAAGAGATGCATAATGAACGCAAAAGTAATGCAATTTGATCTATCGAGAAATTTAATTATGCCTAATTTCTTCACCTCTAGATAACTTTATCCAAGAGATATCTCCCAGATTACAATGGAAATATCTCCTGAATAAGATTATCCGCAATTGCTGGAAGTGAAAAAATTGAGCATTAATACATACAAAATGATCTTAGTATAATATGCGTTTCGGAAACGAGCATAACGAGATCCGAGTGTATTAACATTATTTATATTAACATTATTCATCCTTTTTTACAATTCCATAGTATGTGTTCCATGTAGCTCTTTATTATTGTCAACGTCGCTTTTCGCAAGCGCGTTTGCAACAATATCTTGATAATACTCCCAAAATACGCTGCGATTATGCGAAACAAGTATTACAAATCGGGCAGCAATGGCGGTTAATTCCTCTTGCAATGAAGAGAGGCCTGGTGGTACTTGTTGGGGCGCAGTGGATTGCGATTGAATAATTTTCTGTAGGAACTGTCTAATTCGTAGACCTAAAATAATATATTTATAGTTGACAATGTTAATCATCAATTTTATTTTTATACTTACTGACGAGATATCTGATTTTATGTTTTGGATCTATAAGATCAGCTATTTGACCTTCTAAAAGCGTTTCTAATTCTGGTGACAACTCGGCAGCATTGATTTCTTGTAATGTTGTTTTTACATCTGTTTTTACTTGTAGTATAATATTTGGTATTGCAACTTCTAGATCTCTACAGCAGAAATAACTATATTAATTTTGAATTTATAATGTAAATCATGAGCTAAAGATTCGTCCGAAAACAAGATTTTTTTTTTATTATTAGATTTATTCTTATCAGTCTAAATTTGACTTATAATTGTTTAAAAAATATATTTTATTGCAACTTATTTTCAGTTATGATTTAACCTACTTGTTTGAATGTACAGAATCCAACAGTGCATTCAAGTGTTCCTTGATATTCTTTTTAAAGCTCAAAACCCCATGAATTGGAGCACCAATTGTATTATTAACCAATAATATCACAGAACCGACGATGCTCAATCTACTAATTATGTCACGTAATTCCAGAAGTCTTCCTTGATCCAACATCAATGTCTAAATGAAAATCATCTGTTTATAATAAATTTATCGAATATATAATGTAAAATCTTATATTCCAATATTTTCCATACCTCGGCATCCGGGTTGAAATCCCATTCCAAGAGGTCAAGATATGCCTCTGTCAATAAAGAATGAGTAATTTGTCTTACATTATTAGTACCAGTACTCGATGAACCTGTGACTTTTTCTGCATCGAAATGTCTTAGTAACCATTTTTCTGTATATTGCAAGCCATTTGAATTAATCTTTAAAAAATCAGCAAACTTGGCTTTCTCGTATTCGATACTCGAAGCAATGATATTCGGTCTCATCATCGTAATGGTAAAATTTGCCAAATCCAATCTCATTAACTGCAACAATTCCATGACACCCTTGAACGTCTCAACAATGTCCACCTGCTGTGATAGCTCTCTGATTTTCTCATCTCTCACTGGCGCACATATTTTACTCATAATGGAGATTATGTATTGCCCGTAATGATGAAAATCTAATACGCCTTTCTCCGCTTGCTGCTTGATCAAATCCAAATCAAGTACTTCTCTAATATTTTCCTTAATCTTTGCATTGTGTAATGGTACCAGTTCATCCAGTGACTAAAATAAATACAGAATGTATTATATATCGTTTAATGCTTCTGTCATCATAGAACAAAAACAGAATTATTACTTCTTTAATTTCTTTCATTAAAACCAGCGCGTGCGAATAATCTGGCGGATCTTCAGCCAACTGCTCCGCTAATAGATTCCAAAAAGCTTTGTGCATTATTTCTTTTACTCGCCTATGAAAACTACCGTCTTCTGGCTCCAATTTTTGCAGCTGAAAGTTTACATCTACTGCGATTTCGTGCGCTAAAGCCATATTTTTCATACCATTGGCAGCTTTAACAATTTCGTCAAAAGACACGAATTTTGGTGGTGATGCTCCGGTTAATCCACCCATCAAAAAATTTGGCGTTGGTTGTCTGCGTTAATACAAAAGATGTATATATAAAAGATAAACTAATACATAATCTTCGTATAAAATCTTCATATTAGCTAATCATAATGACAAAGTGTTTTTGTTACATATTTGCTGTAGATTCTGATTACATACCTATGGACTTCATTTTGCGCATTTGTATGTACATTAATATCACAGTTTGTTGATGTACTAGCATCATTTGTATTATGTTTTTGTTCATCTTCATTCTCCATTTTTGTATTTCTGTAAGATCATAATAAGTGATAAATTTTATATAAATATTATTTATATACAGTGAAAACAAGAATAAAAAGACAATTCAATTCAAATTTGTAATAACAATGATCAAAAAAAAGGAATATAATTTTATATTATTGAAAAGAAATTTTTATCTCATGATAATATAGCTTGTTAACCGTCATATTTAGTTAAATACCTATAATGACGATATTACTTATATAAAAATTATTTGTGATTAGCAACAATAAAGTCAATAGTAACAGCGACATTTTGCAAGTATATTTTTTATAAAACAAAAAACAAAGATTAATAAGAAATAAATTAATTCAAGTTTGACATATATAATAATTAACAAAGATGTTATATAAGATGTTTTCCAGCAAGAGACAGATTCAGACGAATTATTTCAACCTTGTTTCATATTGAAACAAGGTTGAAATGATTCATTATATATCTCAATTATATATCTGTTTTTTAGTTGAACTAATATTTATACACTTGTACTTAAAATGAAATAGATCTATATTTGAAGTTTAGCAAAAGTCAGAAAGTTTTAATCCAATCCACTGCAATAATAAGAAACAAGCTTTATATTATGTTACTAGAAAATGCCTATAGTTTATAGACTGTTATGTTTAGCTGAATTTTGTGAATGTCACAGAGAGCAATATTAGATTACACAATTTTTTTCAACAACAAACTCTTATAAACACTGATTCATTATCAGACAAAAATAAACTGACCGATATAACATAGGGATAAAATTTAACAGTGTTGTAGGTCTCAACTTGCGACTGAATAAAAGACAGCAAAGAGTCACACCCCATATTACTCCAATACCGACCAAAACTTTCCTGGCAAAATATTACCAAATCATATATGTTCTTCCTAATTATTTTTCATAAATTGAAACATCAATTATAATAATATAAGAAGGAATCAGTTATATTTTTAATGATAACTGAAATATCACATTGGAGCAAAATCTTTTAATACAAAAGCTTGAAATTTCTAAGATTCTTCTTTTATTAAAAGGACAAAGGAGAGCAATAACAAACATTACATTATGATGCTAAACAAAGCTCGCGAGCGATATACCTATCTGGCATAATGCTGAGTGTAGAGTTATAAATATGTAAATAATTTAAAAGACTGGCCGTAGCATGATCCGCACACGAGTCTGACCGCTGATCCAACTTTAAGCGCGTTTCAAGATGAGAAGTAGGTCAGCCTGTAACTATAAAAAGAATGTCCGTGATACGAGGAAATTCATGAGCTGCATTTCCTTGCTGCTTTGTCCTTACAAGAGGAATTTCACGTAGGTTAATCGCGTGCGATGCGGTCGACAGACACCACAGAAGAAGTCCCGTCTCTTTTCCTGTACAACCCTCAGGCTCGCCAGTACATTGGATTTGTTTGCGAACACGCGTGCCCGCTGACCAGCATCCCGCGATGATCCGCGAACGAATTTGGAAACAGCTGTGAGACCGCGCACCTACAACATCTCGTACTTGTCAGATTTTACCGGAAGTGTCGCATCGTTTGCACAGAGTGCGTTTAAACGTGCACTTTGAAATCTATTCTTTCGAGTTTTTTCCATAAAGGAAAAAATATATTTTAAAAAGTTGAAAAAAATGCAAGAGTTGCAAAAAAATGTATGTTCATTTTAAATGCGTTTCATTGTATCGTTTTCTTAAAAATAAAATTGCATTTGTTGGAAAAAAAACGAAAGCAAAGTCGAAGTGTATAAAGTGCAATGAAAACAAAGAGAAAAGAACGTATCAAAATGATTTAGCTGCACTTTTTGCATTTTTTTACAAAAATATTCTGGAGGGATCTTTTAGGATATAAAGAGAGAAAAGATAAATATAAAAAAAATATAATTATAATTTAAATCAATTTAAAGTTACACAACAAATCTTCTAACGCATGTTTTTAGATTCATCTCTTTTTTAGGATAATTTAGATAAAATTTCAAACTAATTAGCTATTTGAGTGGCAGTCTGTTGCATATTCATGTCTCCATTGTTTTATTTTTATTTTTTTAATAGATTCGATTAATTTAATCCTGTCTAACCTATTAATCTCAGTCTAAATTATTTTATGTTTAAATGCAGCTATCGAAAATTACATTTGACTAAATATTATAATTTAATAAAATGCTTTATCAAATTGTAATGAAATAAATATATCATTCCGTTAAAAAAATAAAAATTGTGATGTATCATTGATGTA